AATTTGAGTAATATTGGAATCAATTTTGGACATTCTCCTAAATGTATTTCTTTTTTAATATTATAGAGATGTGATGAATGAACGAGTGGTGCGGATGAATATTTATATACTTATTAACAAGTGTGGTGTCTACATATATATATGTTTTTAATTACTCTACATAAATGTTAAATTTTGTGGGAAAACAAAAAATTAAGCCATTTACTGATATTTGCAAGGTTTACCATTTACTGATATGTACTATTAAATATGCATTACTCAAAAAGAATCAGTTGCGTATAGTTGGAGTTACTTACTAAATTAAGCCAAATGAAATATATTTGGTTTGCACAATTTTTATATATTCTTCCTCGTATAGTTATTCATTTTAATTTAACAAATTCATCTTGATAAAAATAATTAGTGAGTCATAAAGTAGAAATAGCTAGATATTTTTATGACTCAAGAACGATTCACACCACAAGCTCATGCATGCATTGCCATTTTGAGTTAAAAAAAAAAAAAACAATTGATGAACAAAACTTTTATCTCTCAGTATCCTACAGAATAACCACTTTTGCTGATTCACTGTTGGCTCACGAACTATATAGTATTCGTTTGTCTCTACTTTCTTTTACATAACATAGTAACATATTCATTAGTCAGAGGCGCTGAGCCATTTTCAATTCACCACGTTTCCGACCATTTATATATTTTTAAAATAATGTACTCAATTACGAAAAATACTTGCTTAGTTGGATTTAATCGATATACACAATAGGCAAATTAAATAGAATAAATTATTGATCAAGTGCGAGATAGCTAGCTAGCTAGGTTTTTTGTTTGTTTGATTCATCTTCAAAATATAGTGTACAGAGTTATATGAATGTTCTTTTTAATGATTTAATTGAGACGCACGATAAATTCGCTATCATCTTTATTTCTAAACAAGAAAAATGTGCAAAAGTTTAGAACTTCATAGCACCAAAATGTTCTTTTTATAGTAGCCGAGTTGCAATTAAATTTGTTATGCTCGAGGTAGTTGAGTGGCGTAAGCATTTTGTTGAACGGAATTTCCTTATATATTTTGATAATTCAAAAACAAAATTAGTTTCATCAGGTTCTTGTTGGTTCTTTAATCTATATTTGCAAAACAGGAAATAAAGAGGAATCGATTATGTATCATGCTTTGCTCAGTCCAAATTAAGGAACTTTTATATAAAAATGGTTAGGGATTTTTACTGTTGTTATGTTTTTATCTACCTGATGGCTAGGTATAAAATTTTAAAAATAAGATAATTTGATTTTAAAATATGTTTTTATACATAGATTTTCTAGAATTTGGAAAATATTTTACATGAAATTTTCATTTTTAATAAATATAGAAAGCATATTCTTCCAAAAGTTTAAAACCTTATCTCTGCTTTCATGGCGATAAGTCATTTGGAAGTGTTCTTAGCAATAAATCGATTGGAAGTGTTATAAATTTTTCATGAATAAAATAAAAAAAAACAATTGCAAAAATGCTATTTTAAAAATATTGTTTTAGAAAAATCTTACATTGAGGTATTCATTTTCTAAAATATCACTAATTAAAAATTTTTTTTTTTTAAAAGGTTTTAATTCCGAATAAATCCTAAATCTTAGTATATAAAATCGTTAACCCAAACCTAAATAATATTTTAAATAAATTATATTAATTTAATAGAATTTTTGAAAAAATACATTTTGAAAAGTGGCATTTCAAATGTGACATTTCTTGAAAATTTTCTAAAATAAAATTTAAATCAAGGAACATCAAAATTAAATTAGGAGCAATTACAAAAATGTCACTTTTTGTGTGCACATTTGCAAGAATGCCACTTAGGGGTGCCCATTTGCAAAAATGCCACTAATTATAGATTTATAAAGCCTATATCTTAAAATTCTAAACCCTAAAAAATGTTTTGACCCCTAAAACCCTCTAAACCCTCATAACTAAACCCTAATAGAACATAATTAACCCAAACATAAATGATATAAAGAAAAAATAATTTTGAAAAAGTGACATGTTTGTAAAGATTTCAAAAAGTGTGGCATTTTTGTAAAGTGGCACTTGAAAAGTGGCATTTTTTTAAATTTCTCATTAAGTTAAATGTTATAATAAGTAAATTTAATAAAACTAAAAATTCAATCAATCCACATATATGGGTCCATAGCTTTTTGGGGCAATTACAAAAATGTCACTTTTTGTGTGCACATTTGCAAGAATACCACTTAGGGGTATCCATTTACAAAAATACTACTAATTATAGATATATAAAGTCTATATCTTAAAATTTTAAACCCTAAAAAATGTTTTGACTCCTAAAACCCTATAAATCCTCATAACTAAACCC